GGCTGCCCAGGGAAGTGGTTGAGTCACCATCCCTGGAAGTATTTAAAAGGCGGGTAGATGAGGCGCTTAGGGACATGGTTTAGTGGGCATGGTGGTGTTGGGTTGACGGTTGGACTCGATGATCTTGGAGGTCTCTTCCAACCTTAATGATTCTATGATTCTATGATCACCCTAATCTCCCCTCTCTCAAAGCGGGGCACAGGGCAGGCATTTTACAGGAGGATGGACTGCTTATATAATGAGTAATATCTACAAGAGATCTCTACTTTTATTAGAAATGGTAAGAAATGAAGTCTAAAATCTTTTACATCAATGTAGAAGCCTCAAAGTGAGGCTACAGGGATTTTATGAGCATGTTGCATTGATAACCTTTTGGCATCAAAAAGACTGGCATAAAAAAAACCAAACCCCCAAAAGACAACTGTTGCTGAGTTCTACTCCAACCTTTCCAGCAATGGCTGCTTTACCAGTTACCTCACGAGTACTGCACAGCTAGACTTTCCTTTATCCTTTGGATAAAAGCCACAAGCTGATGAGCTTTTTAAATAGTGCTGCCTAGAGGAAGTTTCATTCCTCATCCTTAATTATTGTTACCTCAAAAACATTTCAGACTAGATGTACAGAAGTTAAGTTAACCGCTGCAAATCCTCACTGAATTTGCAAAGTACATTCAAAAATCTTCTTTTTAATCTACTTGAAAAAACATGCAAAAAAACCATTTGATCTGAGATGTATTTTGATATCATTTGATTGTCTAGGGAAAAAAGTCTAACTTCACAGTTTATACCACAGATCAAACAACGTTACTGTAAAGTATACAGGAAAAAATACTTCAATACTGTAAAGTATACAGGAAAAATACTTAAAATATTACCAGAAAATTGGCTGCATACCAGAGACACCTTACACTTTCTGGGTTTGTTCTTCCTCAAAAAGATTTAAAAACAATACAGCTGCAATCTTTATAAAAATCTACAAATATTCCTAATAAATAAATACAATTTCAAACAAACTTATTGAATTTGCAGATTTCAAAGCAGCTTCTCATACCTCTGTGTTTGAATAATAGGTATTCCATGATGACCGTAATGATTCTTGTCCTCCAATATCCCACATTAAGAAATGAGTGTTTTTCACCACTATTTCTTCTACATTGCTTCCTATGGTTGGAGAAGTATGAACCACTTCATTCATTAAGCTAAAGGAAACAATATCAGACCATAAAGACCAGCCAGTAAAATCCACAAGGCTTGTCACAGCTCAATTACAACAAATTTGTTGTAGAAAAAGTAAATATGTATAACGCTGATAAAAAAAGGTTAAAAAACTAGGTATATTTCAAAAATGTATACATTTGAATTTTTATAGAAATAAAGCAAATATTTAAGAGCAGTTCTTTAGTAAAAAGATTAGTTACATCTGAATTTGGACTAAAAACTGTAGTTGACGAAGTTCTAGTGTGCTTTTGTAGCAGAGACTGTAGACATGCTTAAAGACATCAGCAACGAAAAATAAGCACATAGAAGGCTTATAACAAATGGATAAGCACCTGCATTTTAAGAGGCTTCTGTTTTTAAAGGACACTCTTTAACAGATACTTAAAACGCACTTGTTTCAAAGTAGAAGCTGCTATTCTAAAGATGCCAAATAAGGGGAACACTAAACTGTGCAAAATATAAATCAGAATATAATTTTATCAGAGCACTCAACTTAGTAACTCAATATTAAAACAACTTCCTGAGGACTGTTTGTTTACATAGCTGAAAATTTCTCAGTTCTACCTTTAAGCTTTGACAAAAGTGCTTAGCAAAAATGTTTTTTGGAAAACATCCTCTGCTGCCTTTGTACCCAAATATATTCATAGTAATTTGGCTACACCCTCCTCATTTTCCAATTACAATACTAATTATGTTCCTGCTAATATTCTTGAATTTATCATAGATGTTCTTGTAATGCTGGCAAGATTTGGGTGCATTGATATTATTGAAAACGTTTAAGGTAGGACCTAGGCAAGATGAAATACTACTTTGAGGAATCCTCTATCACAAATATAGACGCTGGAATCAGGAAACATTTGGAAACATTTATGGATTTTTGCAGAGTGGCTAGAATTTCCATTAATTTAATCACTTTCTTCTCTGGAGTTCTTGGCGACAGGATTATTTCTATGCTCACAAATAAAGATCAGCTTTGATGGCAAAAGAATTTGCAGTCACTTTGTACTTGTATGTACAATTGTGTTATTCAATTTACAGTTCAGTTTTAAAACACTGCAGTTCCTTCACTTATCCTTTAAATATTTACTCTGTTTAGAACAACTAATACCATTAATGCACAAACTATGATCTAGAACCCTAGAGATTCCACCAGGTTGCAAAGCTGAATTTTCAATGATTAAACAGTGACAAATACTAAAATGTAAACAGAAAAACAAAATAGTTCATATACTTACAATTGGTAAAGAATAGTAGTCTTTCCAGCATTATCAAGTCCCACTATGATTACTTTGTGCTCTGCATATACACAAAAAAGACAAGAATAAATTTGTGGAAACAGCAGTAATTATAATTCTGGTTAGTCGCTTTTCCTTACTGAAGAAAGCAACTGCTTGTTTGTCTTATTTCAATAGCTTACACAGACTACTGGTGGCTTTGGGACAGAAAAAAAAAATATATCCACAAAACTCATCTTCTCTTGAGACTACAGTTTTAGGAAAAGTCAGTACTGTAAGTCTTCGTAAAGGAATGGTTACTAATATGTTACTTCATTAAAAAAATCTAGTTTTAGAAAGAAAAGTACAATGAAAATATATAACTCATAGCAGTGTATCATCTTAAGAACATCACCAAACATCCAAAGACTGCACAAAATATTAGCCTAACATTCAAGGCTCAATCATAACCACTTGTTAAGGGCCCGCCATCATTTGGCACAGTAAAAACTAAGAGGAAGCTGTATTTTGAATAGATCACAAATTCCAACATTGCAATTTCTGAACTGAAAAGTCACAGAATGCCAGAATGGTCGAGGTTGGAAGACACTTCTGGAGGTCATCTGGTCCAACCCCCTTGCTCAACTAGGGCCACCTAGAGCCAGTTGCCCAGGACCATGTCCAGACGCCTTTTGAGTATCTGGAAGGATGGAGATTCCACAACCTCCCTGGGCAGCCTGTGCCAGTGCTCAGTCACCCTCACAGTGAAAAAGTGTTTCCTGATGTTCAGAGAGAACCATCTGTGTTTCAGTTTGTGCCCACTGCCTCTGGTCCTGTCACTGGGCACAACTGAGACAAGCCTGGCTCTGTCCTCTTTGCACCCTCCCTTCAGGTATTTATATACATTAACAAGATCCCCTCGGAGCCTTTTCTTCTCAAGGCTAAACAACCCCAGCTCTCTCAGCCTTTTCTCATACATGAGATGCTCCGGTCCCTTAATCATCCTTGTGGCCTGTCACTGTACTTTCTCCAGTATGTCCATGTCTCTCTTGTACTGAGGAGCCTGGAGCTGGACAGACTACTCTGCCAGTGCTGAGTAGAAAGGAAAGATCACCTCCCTCAACCTGCTGGAAAGTCCAGCTTATAGAACAGTGATCTTCCAAATGCTGCAATGTTATTTTTCCAGGCACAGGGGAAGCAAAACCAAAACCACAACCAAACAAAACCACAAAAAAACCCAGAACTTATATGCTTCTCTGCAGCTAGTCCTTCTCAGAATTTCAAATACAACAGCACAGCCAATTAGAATGGTGGTTCTTTTGATACATGTGTGAAGTTAGAAGATACTGATCTGCTTACTGACAAAAAAGCAAATCACTTGAGACCAGAGAATTTGCAAATGGATACTAGAAATAAAACTTGCATAAAAGGTCTGTGAACAGGCTCACTTTTGAAAGGGTAATATTTAAAATTCTAGGGCACTTATTCCAAAGCAAAACACGGTTCACAGCTTAAAGATTTCCTCTAAAATACCACGTTTGATCTACAAGACTTGTAACAAATTACTAGAAGGTCAGAAGATCTATCATAAATATCAAATTGGTGGGTTTTTGCCTGCAAGTGGGTGGTCTAAGGAAGAATTGAAGTGTTTTGTTTTTTAAATCTATTTATATATAATAACCTAGGTCTTTTCATACTGAAAGTGATTTTGATAAAACAATCTCTTGCTTGGGACTTTTAGAAGTTTTGCTATGTGAAACGGCCCTAAAAAATGTTGAAATGTATTTCCTTGTATCCCTTACTACTGCATCCTGCCAACACATTGTAAGGAAAGAACTTTTCCTGGCCTTAAATCCAGTAATACTTTTAGCCCCATAAGCAGCAGCATCAGTAATTAATAACCTTTCCCAATACATAAATGGTACAAAATCCTCCCTGCTTTCAACTCTAATAAACCATGCCACATAGCTAGACTGTCCATCTCTTCTTCAAATTCAGTTAAGTTTAAAGGGCTTTCAAAGTTCAAACACAGAAATACCCTTCTGTTGTTTTCAAAACAGCCATGTTGTCAACTATTGTCTGGAAGATGACGACTCTACTTTTGCAACATTCTGTTTGAGTCATTTTCAAGGAGGAAAAGAAAAGGAATTCCAGTCAGGCATTACATTGCTCTTTCCCACCTTCACAGCAGAATACAGAGTCTTGCTTAGGAATGAATGAGAAAAGCATTGGATGAAACAATATCACGCTACTTAAAGTAATGAAAAAAAACCAATCCCCATTGAGATGACTGTTTTTGAAAGCCACTGAAGCATGAATGGTTCAACACTAATTGGGAAAAAAAGGCACAGCTTATCTGTGTTACTCCGTAGTCAAATGGTATTTTACACAGTAACTGAGTAAGAACAAACAAGAAACAGTCACACAAGTGTTAATTAATGTTGATTTGGGGATGAAAATAATAAGATGAAGGCATCAGTATCTCATACAAATAGCAGTTTCCACCTTTTATTAATGGCAGTTGCTTTCAGAACTGTCATCTATGGTAATGGAAAACTCTTCACTTACAAACGTATTCAAAAGTTGAATTTCTGTCTAGTTTGGTTAGATTACAGAATTTTTACTTGTATATGTGCATTAGAGAAAAAACACATGAACTTAAAAACTGCCAAACTAAGACAGAACAAAATTTTAGCAAGACGAATACTTGTTTACAAGAGCAACTAGTAGAAGATAGATGCTACATTTAAAAGGATGGTTATGGAGTAAACCATAGGCAGTGATTTATGCTCATATTTGTGTTCTGTACTTACAGACTAACCCAAGTTTCTCCCTTTCACTGGCTGGTATTCAAACTCAGTTTGGGCTGTATTCATGAATATCTTCCCAGTCCACCATGTTCTTGGCAAAGGAAGAAGAAAATCCATAACAGAGTTGCCAGAGCGGAAGAGCAGAGTCTTTATAAATCAGATAGAAAGAGGGGAAAAAAATAAGTAGAAAAAGTAGGCATACGCGGGGGGGGAAAGACGGTATTAGACTACTGTTTAAAAGAATCCAAAGTATTCTGTTATATCAACCATTCCTGGCAGACCGTTTAAAAAAAAAAAAAAATATAGTATTGTTAAAAAAAATCTCTGGCAGTCTAGTATTACAAAATAATAGGATAGTGAAGATGATCATCTTGCAGATGTTAGAAGGAAGACATAATATGCTCTTTTCTTCACTTACTCTTCTATATTCCTCTGTGGTAAAAGGACCTAAAACTGAAGATTCAATTCTCACAACTTTGCCCTTTCCTCTTTCTTATTTGCAAAAATTAAAAATAACAATATTTCTAAATACTTTAACGATGAGCAAGACTCTTCGAACATATCTGAAAGAAGAAATGAATTTTGGAAAGGGTACCGATACTCTTCAGACTGTGAAACACAAAACCCACACCTAGTTCCAAAGAACAACAATCTTGGAGGCTTCAAGACTGAAGACAGAATGCAGATAGAAGTTTGCTAAAGAGGAGGCAGGAGGAATAGCATTTTACTAAAGTTCAAAGACATTTCAATACAAGGATTCATTCTGCACACTAAAAGCTGCCTTAGAGTCTTCTTTTAAACACAGAAGAACTGCTTAAATACATCTTGTATTTCCAGACTTGATTACAAGAAAGTAGCCTTTAGTAGTCACTGGAACCAAAATCCATTTAGTTTTTAGAGACCATTTTAGATAATGGTCTCTGCTAACCTGACTGTACAGTCTGGGAACTGTCAGCAAGCCTAAATGAAGGAAGCTGTGGAGTTACAGAAGTTCAACTACCTTGACTTAAAGCTTACCATTATTTTTCTTACAGCAGTTTTTTAACACCTATAGCATTTACTCAGAGCAACCTGGAAGACTTTAAACAACTATCATGCAAAAAAATTAAAATACAGATTTGTGAACTTCTTAAAGAACTCTATCAGCCACACCCACCCACAAAGGAATAAGGTATTGATAATTGTCAGAGTTGCCTTTATTAAGGTTGCTGACATTCACTTCTGTTTTTTCCTTATAGTTTCATTAAGAGCGATCTTGATAGTGTGGATGGAATGATAAGTCAAGCAAGTTTTATTCAGCTTTGTGTTAACACGGGCAATAACTTAGTTGCTCCACCATTTATTCATATTACTACATGTTGCTTAGAAGACTGTGCCATTTGAGTACTGAATCATAGCTTAAGCCGGTCATTTTTGAAGCCTCATTTTTTTTAAACGTACTTCTAAAAGTTATTTTCAGAATAAGTTTAAGTTCAATCTGAACTTACAAGACCTTACAACTAGACTTTAAATGGCTGCAGGGCACAATATTTTAAATGAAAACAATACTCGGGCAACATTTTTTGTCAATTTCAAAAATAAGGAAAAAGAATCAGGAAGCCATCAGTAAGTCACCCAGAAAAAAAGTCAAAACTCTATTTTTAAGCCAATTGTTTCTCTTATAAGTAAAGTATCTCTATTTCAGTTCACATCATTCAATTAGTACTTGATTAAGAGACAATATATATTGAGAGCTGAAAGACATAGAAATGCTTATTGTCCTCCCTCCTTCAGGCTTTAACCTCTGCACTGAAAAGGCACAGAGACCAGAAAACAAGATTAAGGCCCTGGAACAGTTTTTGGCCCCCCCCCCCCCCCCCCCCCACAAAACAAACAAAACCAGCCACTGTTTAAAGACTACTGCCAAACTCAAACGGGAAGTGAACCCTTCCAAACATATCCACAGAACTAAGTAGATATTCCCTGACGAACTGTGCTCAGGGCAGAGACTGTTAGCTTTCCCCTTTTTCATTAGTCATTGACTCACAGATCAGCACAGACATTCAGTTTCCTTAAACTGCTCTGCACTGCAGCTTTTCTTGTTCCATAATCCCACATACCAGATTTGGAGAGTAGATGGTGCACTGCAATGGAAAAGCAAATGCATTCTGCCAGGGGAGCAGGAAAAAGAGCTAAAGGCTTTCCCCTTCTAGAAGTTCCCATCACAAGTCAAAGCCACACAATACTATTTTAACCATTACATTTTTCACCATGAGCCAGTCTGGGTTTGCCAAAATGGGCTAACCATAATCA